CGAGCTACTGTACAAAAATGGCAACTATACATAATGCACATGAACCTCACCTGATGGTCTACACAGGAACCAGAGTGATTACGTATGTGGGGGAAAATCATTGGAGAACTCAATGTCAGCTGTGAAAACTAGGCCAGGTGCTGATTGTGGATCAGATTATCAACTACCTATATGCAAGTTCAGTCTGAAGCTAAGTAAAATCAGATCTACAAGAACCAAAGTTTGACCTTGAGTCCCATCCCTCCTGAATTTTTAAGACCATCTCTGGAACAGGTCTAAGGCTTTGAATACTAATAAGTGAAGGCCAGATGAGCTGCAGGAAGAATTGATGGCTTTCAACTGTGGTGCTGCCAAAGAATATAGGCTGTACTGTGGAGTGCCAAAAAGAAAAAACCAAGCTGTCTCAGAAATGCAGTCAGAATGCTCCAAGAAGCAAGGGCTGTGAGACTCTGTCGCACATACTTCGGGAATGCTGTCAAGAGAGTTCAGTTCCTGGAGAAGGCCCTCATGCTTAGAGATGTAGGAGACAATCAAAAACAGAGGAAGAACCTTAAAAGGTGTATTGACACAGTGCTGAGTGAGCTTGTGAGGACGACACAGGCTCGGGCCGAGTTTTGTTCCATTGTACAGAGAGGCTCTGTGCACCAGAGTTGGCTCAACGGCACCTAACGGCGACAAGTTTTTAATCGATTGTATTAAATATGCTCAAAATGACAAAGACAACCATGTTGCTGCTGTCGTGTGCCATACGGTCAGAGTTGACCCGTAGCTGAGCTCCAGAGAGTTTTCAGAGACAATAAATTGCACGGAAGGAGAAGATGGACAAAGAATTAAAGGGAACCAAGAAAATGATGTATGAATGAAATGAGAAAAGAATTAAAAGATAGAAGCTAGAAAAAGAAACCAGATAGGAATTCTGATGCAAAAATCACTAAAATAAAAAATATAAATATAAAAATATCTTTAAAAATAATATAAAAAAATAGCTAAAATGTGGCACTAGAGACATCGCCAATGTTAGATGGATCTTGGCTGAAAGTAGAGTGTGCCGGAGGAATGGCCACCTGTGCTTTATTGACTATATGCAAAGGTGTTTGACTGAGTGGATCACAACAAATTGTGGCTAACCTTGAGAAGAATGGGAATCCCAGAACACTTAATTGTGCTCATGTGAAACTTATACTTGGGCCAAGAAACAGCAGTCAGGACAGAACAGGGAAACACTGCATGATTCAGGATCAGGATAGGTGTGCACTATGGAAAAAGTACCTTTATACTTTTAAAATCTATATGCAGAACAGATCATTTAGGAGGCTGAACTTTATGAGGAGGTATGTGGCATCAGGATTGGGGAAAGACTCATCAACAAACTATGTTATGCAAATGACACAACTTTGCTTGCTAAAACTGAGGAGGACCTGAGGCATTTGCTGCAGAAGGTCAAGGTCTATAGTCTTCAATATGGATTGAAGCTCAACACCAAGAAAACAAAGATTCTCACCCCTCAGCCAGATGGCAGCTTCATGATAGATAGAGAAGAGACTGAGATTGTTAACAACTTCAGCTTGTTTGGTTCCCCAATCAGCACTCTTGGCAGCAGCAGTCCGGAAATCAAAAGATAAGTTGCATGGGGAAAGTCAGCTGCCAGAAAGCTCTCTAGAGTACTGAAGAGCGACGAGGTCAACTGGAGACTAAGGTCATGTTCTTTGCAATAACTTGCTATGCATCAGAGAGCTGGACAGTAACAAAGGATGATAGAAGAAGTACCGATGCCTTTGAGTTGTGGTGTTGGCGTGTTTAACATAC